CACGTTAGTTATCTGGGTTCCGTTTCCAGCTCTACCACCAAATTCCTAGTGACCTTCACAAGCCATTCTTTCTACACATCGGGATGGTTTGTTCCTGCAACCGCAATAAGGATTCTTTAAAATACAGCCAGCTCTCCTGGACCCCTTTGCCCTTCATGTTCTTCTCCCAGGGGATCCTGCCCATCTGTTCCCTGAGGGAGTCAAAGTCTGCTTTTCTGAAGTCCAGGGTCCGTATTCTGCTGCTCTCCTTTCTTCCTTTTGTAATATATTACTATTTAATTTTTTATAGCTGTCTTTAACTTCCTTTCTAAACCAGGTCAGTTTTTTAACCAGCATGGTCGTCTTCCTCAGTTGTGGTTTCTTTAAAAGATCCCCAATTATCACTCAGATTTTTCTGACTCAATTCTTCGCAATAGCTGATTTAGCTTATAATTGTTTTCAGCTTTGTGAAACTGGCCCTGTTAAAAGACCAAGTGTATATATTATGGGTCTTGGACTTTATTCTGCTTGCACATTATAAATGTAATCAAGTCTTGATGACTTGTACCTAAGCTACCATTAACTTTTAGTTCTGTGATCAGTTGCTCTTTATCTGTTAGGACGAAGTCTAATAAAGAATTCCCCCGGTAGCAGCGCCTGGACTAAGGGGGCTGTAGTTTGGGGGTCTGCTGGGCAGAGCTGTGGCAGAATCCTATGGCATAGGGAGCGGCATCTCCCAAACCATTCGGGTTTTATACGTTAGGTGCTTTCCTGTGCCTGGGTTCAGCACCCGCAGCTGGAGCAGTGCAGCGAGTGGGGTTCCAGGGCATGTGATGTCATGAGGAGCAGAATGATTCCCCTTGTGTCCTCCCCTCTGGGTGTGTTGCCTGACTTGGTGCCTGCTGGGCTCTGTCCCCCCATGTCTCACTGCTTGTCTCTCTCCTCTGCACCCAGTGAGATGCTGGCGTGGGCCAGCGCCCAGATTCACTGCCAGTTTCACTCCAGCGAGAACCGGGTGGCGTTGCCTCCCTCGGATGACAGCAAGCATGACGTGCAGGCCGAGAACGAGACAGTGTTTGTCCCCAACAGAGGTGAGTGCTGGCCTGGCCTCTGTTATGCCAGGCCTCGGTGTGTGGGGAAGGGATTTGGAGTAAGAGACTGGGGAGAGATAAAATAATGACTGGTACTGAGAGAGCTCGGGGGGCTGCTCCGTAGCATGCCGAGAGCCAGGGCAGAGAATCCGTTTCCCACCTTGTATCATCACCCCACAGAGCTTCTGCTGCAGGAGCCTTCGGCCCCAAACAGTGAGACTCAGAAAAGCAATGACCCCAGCTAGGATTAAACTCTCGGAGCTGTCAGGCCTGCGGCTCCAGGGCACATCAGATGCTCTAGCAGTCACCTCCCTGGGCAAGGATGCCTCCTGCACTGCGCGGTCTGGGAGGGACGTAGCAGGGAAGAGGGGACACTGGGCTGGTTTTGCCTGGTGCTCTGGTCCTGTACAGCAGTTGTTGTTCTTTACCTTTCAGGAGAGCGGGGTCAGTGCATCCTGTCCACACCCCCAAAGATTCTCTTTTGTGACTTGCGCCTGGATCCCGGAGAGTCGAAATCCTGTAAGGACTGTGTTCTCTTCCCTGAGGGGGTGTTTCACCGTGCATTTATCTCCCTTGCTAGGTGTAACTCATTTTCTTCCTCAGCCTTCCTGATTTCGTCCCTGTAAGCTTGGGCTGTTCTTTTGTACCCCTCCTTAGCAATTCAGCCACGTTCCCACTTCCTGCAGGATTCCTTTTTGATTTTCAGGTCGTTAAAGAACTGCCGATGGAGCCATATTGGCCTCTTACTATTCTCCTACGTTTCCTTCGCATTGGGCTAGTTTGCAGTTGTGCATTTACTGTTGTCTCCTTGAGGAACTGCCAGCTGTCCTGAACTCCTTTGTCCCTTGGATTTTCTTCCCATGGACCTTACCTACCAGTTCTCTGGGTCTGTTAAGGTCGGCTTTTGTGAAATTCATTGACCTTATTCTGCTGCTCTCACTCCTTTCTTTCCTTAGACTCATGAAATCATCATGTCCTGGTCCCTTTCTCCCAGTTGCCAGTTCCTCCCTGTGGTCAGAATGAAGTCTAAAATGGCTGTCCCCCTGGTTACTCCCTCCACTTTCTGAAACAAAACGTTGTCCCCAGTGCATTCCAAGAGCTTCCTGGGAATGTTGGGGTTTGCTGTGTTACTTTCCCTCCAGATGTCTGGGTAGTTAGTCCCCCATTACCACCAATTCACCTAACCCCACTATGCCTCGGTTCCCTGTCTGTAAAACGGGGGTGATGGTACATCCCTGTCTCCCAGGTGGGGGCGCTGTAAGGATAAGTCCCTCGCGCTTGTGAGGCTCAGGCGTTCTGTGAGGGGAGACTACAGGGAAGTGTTACAGGGCGTATAGGCAAAGCTGGCAGGGGCACCCTCAGTTAAGATTGCTCAACTCTTTCCATGGTAAGCCCCACGGACGGTGAGCCCTGCCCCTCTCGTTTCAGACTCGTACTGTGAGACGCTGCCTGTGGATGGGCCGCCCTCCTTCCGGGGGCAGTCGGTGAAGTACGTGTACAAGCTGACCATCGGCTGCCAGCGAGTGAACTCGCCCATCAAGCTGCTGCGGGTGCCCTTCCGGGTGCTGGTGCTGCACGGTAAGGCCCGCTGTGGCCCTCTCCCGGCAGGGCGCGCCCAGCCCACGGCCAGGCTGTGACCCTTTCTGCACTTTCTCCCCAGGGCTCAAAGATTATCAGTTCCCCCAGGACGAAGTGGTCGCCCCCTCGAACCCCTTCCTGGAGGAGGAGGAGGGAGTGAAGAAAGACTCCCGGCTGGCGGACCTGGCCACGGAGCTGCTGATGGCAGCCACCTCCCGGCGCAGCCTGCGTAGGTTGTTCCCCACTTGATCTTACCGTGCCTCCCTGCCCCTTCCGGCACGCACCTGGTCTGTGCGATCTCTGCTCTGTCCCCAGCCGGCGTGCGCACTGCGGCTCGTTCGTCTGCCATTCCCAGCTCCCTGGATTCCTCAGCGGCAGCCTCACCGCGTTCTGACAGCTGCCCCACGCTGCCCTGCCTACGTAAAGGCCCTAACAGAGCAAAGCATCTCTGTCCATAGCCAGCCAGGGCCCTGTTGTAACCAGCATGTGCAGTGCGTGTGCTGAGGGGTCCCCGATGCTCCCCGGGGGCTGTCCTCGGGGGGAGTCCTGTCCTGCAGGGGCACAGCCGCACTCTTGGGCTGTGGCTTCGTTCCAGGCGGGGAGTCGCTGCAGCCCTGGCTCATCTGCCTGTCTCCATCTCCGCAGACGTGTATAACATCAGCAACACCCGGGGCAAGGTGGGCAAGTTCGGGATCTTTAAGACTGTCTATAAGATTGGAGAAGACATCCTGGGGACCTTTAACTTCTCAGAAGGGGACATCCCCTGCCTGCAGGTGAGTGCGGCTCTTGCTTCCCGGCCAGGCAGCCCGTCCCATTGTCCAGCCAGGGGGATGTGGGCAGCTGGGCTAGCAGCAGTGGCACAAACACTGAGCTGCTCTGGGTGCCTCTGGGCAGTCCAGGGTCCTGCCTTGGGCTTGGGGGGAGCTGCGAGTTATTCAGAGCTAGGTCCCCCCCTGAGCCTTCGGCACAGCTCTCAGCTGGGATTGCGCAGCGGTGTCTGAAAGCCAGGGCTCTGCCCTCCCTCACGTGTGTGCCCTGCTCCCCAGTACTCGGTGAGCCTGCAGACAGAGGAGAGTATCCAGGAGGAGTTCCAGCGGCGGCACGGGCAGCCCGTCTCCTACAGCACACACGCCCGCCACCAGGAGTCCTGTCTGCATACGGCCAGGAGCAGCTTCAGCCTCCCTGTCCCGCTGAGCTCCACGCCCGGCTTCACCACCAACATTGGTGAGTGCCCGGGGAGGGAGCTGCTGGCACTCACTGGGGGGTGGGCATCGCCCCACTGCCATCCCCAAAGGCTCCTGCTCTGCCCTGTGCTGGCACAGCCCCATCAGAGCCGGGCGACAGAGAGGGGGCAGCTGTGCCAGGGGGTCCTAGAAAGGGGGACCCCTTCGCCAAGCTGACCAGTGCTAACGTGGCTGCTGAGCGGGGACCCCCTGCCATCCAGGTGCCGTTGCGCTCGCAGCCTCTGACCCTCCTTTCACCCGCAGTGTCTCTGAAGTGGAGGCTGCACTTTGAGTTCGTGACCTCCCGAGAGTCGGGGGAGGCCCACACGGTCCCTGAGAACCCGTCGGAAACCATCACCTGGACTGGGGTGGAGCAAATCGAAGTGGATACCTTCAGCTGGGACCTGCCCATCAAAGTCCTGCCGACCAATCCCGTCCTGGCCTCCTACGTGTCCCAGTTCTCCAGCACAAACTCCATCACTATCTGAGCTGGGGCAGGACCTAGGTGGGAGCCTGGGGCGCCAGTCACACCACCCGCTCGGGACAGTAGCTGCCGAGTGGCAGGGCACAGGCCCACTCTGAGCCCTGCACCAGGCCCTGCGCCGGCTGTGCGGCCCTGCCTGTGTGAGAGACAACGCTCTAGGCCCAGCACTAGCTGGCCTCTCCTTCCTGAGCTGCGTCTCTCTGGGTCGGGAGCCAGGCTCCTGGTCGCCTGGGCATGCACAGGAACCCCAGTGCTCTCTGTCAGGGGCGGCCTGGCTGCTTCCTCCCCAGTGTGGGGCCTTGTGCCCAGCCCAGGGAAGGGAGAAGGTCGCCCTTCCAGTGACTACCCGTCCCAGGCTCCTGGGAAGCCCACGCCCATTCCCTCTGGGATCTCCCCCCACTGCATGGAGGACCCCATCTCCAGCTGACACATGTCCAGTGCCCCTGGCCCCAGCTGGGAGCGACAGCCCTGGGGCATGTCCATCCTGCGTGGGAACTGCAGTCCCTCTGGTAGCGTCAGCCCCGCAGCAGCCCCCCTGCCTGGGACAGCCCCAGCAGAGGGGCAGCAGGTGCCCTGCACGCCCAAGCTGGGCTTCTGCACATGGCTGGCTTCCCACGGGAGAGGCCAGGGTCCCATGGAGACAGGGCGACGCTGCAGCTCCAGGACCCTAGACCAAGGAGGAGGCCGGCTGCCATCCCCACCTGAGCTGGGAGAAGGAGATCCTGGCCTGGAGGCTGGGTTCTTGGCCCTGCTCTCCCTGGGGCGGATGAGTGCCGCCTCTTCTCTTCCTGGGCTGGGCCCGGCAATGAAGTCAGCGTAACTCCATCGTTCGGGGAGTGAACTCCTCTCCACCCCCCCACCCCCGAGTGCCGCTGTCACACCGACCTGCCCCCGGGTGCTGACAGCACTGGGTCCCATTGACCTGCGCCCGGGGAGAGCCCCTCCCGTCAGGGCAGGCAGCAGCTTCACTGAAGTCCTGAGGCACCCAGCGCTGTGCTGGACCGGGGCCAGGCCCGACCCCTCCAAGCTCCTGGGGTCTTTCCCCAGCAGCCTGATAAAGTGTCTGCTCTGTGTGTGCAAGTTAATAAACACCTGAGTGCCCAGCCCACAGCCTTCCCGGTCCTTACAACAGCCCAGGCTCTGCTCTGCGCGGGGGGGGGAGGGGGGTGTTGTGTTTCCTGTAACTGCCCAGCCCTGGGGGGGGAGAGGGGGTCCCTGTAACTGCCCCAGCCCTGCCCTGTGGGGGGGAGAGGGGGGTCCCTGTGACAGCCCCAGCCCTGCCCTGTGCGGGGGAGAGGGGGATCCCTGTAAATGCCCCAGCCCTGGGGGGGGGGATCCTTGTAACAGACCTAGCTCTGCCCTGTGTGTGGGGAGGGGGATCCCTGTAACTGCCCCTGCCTGGTGGCGGGATGCTTCCTTGCTGTCCCACAGGCCGTTCCTGCTATGTCCCCTCCTGCCTCTGAGCACGGCCCGGTTCCTGAGTGTGGCCCGGCCTGTCCCTTGTTGGAGGGACAGCATGTGCTCTGTGCAGGGGGTGTGATATAGGGCCCTTTCCCACTACTGGGAGCTATCCCCCTCCCCCAGACAGTCACTGGCCAGAGCCCTCGTGGGGTTTAATTCATACTTTTATTGCAAGGACAGAAAGACGTACACAAGGCTCTGCACAACATAGATGCGGTGCTGGCTGGGCCAGGCTGCCGGGGCAGCCAGCTCACAGCTGGTGCTCGGGTCGCTTCAGCTCGCTGAGGCCCAGCAGGGCTCCTGGGCTCACACTTCCCATCTGCCAGGTCTCGCCCGGGGGGTCAGACTCCCAGGAATGGCCTGGTCCACCCCGTGCCCCCAGCCCACTGCCGCCTCCGGGCAGGGCTCTGCTGTCTCACCAGGGCTGGGGGGCGGCACGTGGTGCAGGCGGGCTCCTTCCGCCCCAGGGAGCTGTGGGTGCAGGGGCTGCAGTGGTTCCAGAGGAGGCTTTTGCCCCCACACCCAAAGGCAGGACAGAGCCTCACCCATTTCACCCCAAGGCAAAGGGGCCGGCAGGGGAAGTGCAGTGACTCGGCGTGTAAGTGCAAAGGGCCCTCGCTGGCCCTGTGTCCCTGCCCCGCACTGGGATGCTGGCCACGGCGGGGGGAGGTCCAGGGTGCAGTTCCTGGGTGATGCAGGGAGAGCAGAGGGCTGCCACAGTGCTGTGCGAGTTCGATCCTTTCTACGGGGATGTTAGAAAAGCAGCTCTCCGCCTCTCAGTAGCCAGAAATCTGCCTGCCTGGTCCCTGCGGGGCTGCGTGCCTGGAGAGAGCCCAGCTCCCAGGAAGGCATCCTGGACTCCTCCCTGCCCTGCTTGGTGCCAACAGAGCACTGAGGGTACTGCACTGGCTGAGGCCACAGACCCAGGGCACTCAGACACGCATCCCCTGCTTCCCAGCCCCCCATCCTCAGCTGGGACTCCCGCTCCAGGGGTTTCCTCAGTGGGGTTTGAAAAAGGAAGCAGGGGGCTTGTCCACTGCCCCCAGTGTGCCCCCCTCTGGGCCGGGACCTCCCTTAGTGTGTGTGGAGCATGCACTGGGGTGCGGGGGAGCCCTGGTTTGGTTCAGGAAGCTGAAGGCAAAGGCGAAGCCGGGGCAGGGCAGCGCTAGGTTGTAAGTATTAAGTTCGTTATTCCAGTATTGGGCGGCTAGTGGTTTCCCTGGAAGGTGGCTGCAGCGGCGTCTCGCAGCACGTGGTGCAGGGACGGAACATGCAAGAAATGTGCTGTCGGGGGCAGTGGCGGTTCATGCTGGACGGGGGGTGGAGGAGGCACGTCCCTGCCTCTACCTGCTCAGCCGTGTCTCTAGCACCTTGTTGATCATTGGCTCCGGGGTGCCGGCCGAGCCCCACTCGCGCTCCATGCTGTTCACACAAGGCAGGCTGGGGTTGGCTTTCTGCACCACCGAAATCTGGCAGGTCTGCGAGTCGTAGTGGGCCATGCACCAGTCTGGAAAATCGATGGGGTGCTGGGTGCTGGACAGGAGAGAAGGGAGAGGGGTGCTTTGTCCACAGCCATCCTGCAGGAAGGGGGGAAGCTGCCTGGAAAGCCCAGACCCTATGGGGCATTGGGAGGGATCGCAGGCCGGGCCAGGTGGCTCCTAAGTGCATTCCACTGACTCACCTGTAAGGTAAATGGGAAACGCTTCCCTCCCCCAGGCCTGGCCACGGCTAGCCCAGCTCCTGCGCCCCCTGGCTGCCCCACAGGACAGCCTCTCTCAGGACCTCCTGTGCCAGTGATACTTCCCCCAGACCCTTCCCCAGCCACCTCCATGAACTGCCCCAGCCCAGCCCCACGATGTCCCGGTCTGACCTGCCCCGGCCTCAGACTGCGCCTCCCAGCACAAGTGGGGTGCAGCTGTGGCAGCACAAGGGCGATGCCATTTCCATTGCCTGCAGGTCCCAGCACGGCCCTGCAACCCCTCATGCAGGCTGGGTGCTGACGCTCCGGCTTGCACTGCAGTGTGGCCTGTTTGCTTGTCACATGCACAGACTGGCGCTCGCTCCGCATGCGCGGCACCACCACCAGGGGCTGATCCCTGACTGGCCTGCGGAAACCCCAATAGAACTGACCGCAGCAGCGACCCTCCCCTGGCACGTCCCCACTTACATCTCGCAGCAGCCCACGCCGACGGGGTGGAGGCAGGTGCAGAGCAGGCAGGTGGTGCTGAGCCAGGACTCCCCCAGGGTGAACTGCTTCCCCTCGTAGTGACAGGGAGCTGCAAGGAAACCCCCCCAATGAGCGCACGTGACCCTGCCCGCCCAGAGCATGACCCAGGGCCCCCCAGCTGCTCTGCAGTGTAAGGACGGGCTGGGGACCCCCAGGCCCACTGCCTTCTCTCTGACATGAGAAAGGGGCTGGAGGAGCAACCCCAGGGCCCCCTGCCTGCCCCCAATGTGAGAAAGGAGCTGGGGGAGCGACCCTAGGGCCCCCCCACCAGCCCTGTGACGCTGAAGATAGCCAGTAACCCCTGCCCCACACTCATGCCTAGGCTCCGTTACCAGACCGGGAAGCCCCTGCAGCTGTGGCCGGGGCCGGAGAGCAGACACATTTCCACCGGTTTGTGTTCTTGGCAAGTCTCTGCCACTTCCTCTTGTGCTGTGAGCACAGTGAGGCCTGGGTCTGATGCAGACACGCGTCGCTCCTGATCACCAACGGCTGTGCCCGTGGGCAAGGCCCCAGCACCCGCGTTCACCTGCAAGGAGCTGTGACCTCCGCTTTCCCTTCACTACCTCGGCCGCCTTCCTTGCCCACGGCCGGGCTCTTGGCAGCAGCTCGGCCGTAGCCCAGCAGGCCGGTTCTCAGCCAGGGCCCAGGGGAGCTATTCTGTGGTTTATGGGCTGCTTTGCAGTCATCACTGGCCTGTAGTCACGCTCCCAAGACTCAGCCCAATTCGTTTATTGCTTTGCAGCCTGGGAGCCCAGAGCTCCCACTGCCCTGACAACCCCAAGAAAAAGCTGAAGGCCTCTCCCAGCACCTGCACATCCCAGCTGTAATCTCCACGGCTGCCTTACCTTGCGCCTGGAAATAACATTTCGCCTGGGATCCCTGGAGCTGGAGGAGGAAAGAGACCAGCAGGCAGATCCTGCCCCAGACACGGGCAACCTTCTGCACCTTCCTGGCCATTGTGGCAGTCGTGCTTCGACTCTTCTTAATCCCGATGAAGTTCCCCGGCTCCTCTCTTCCCGGCTCTGTGCTTTGCTCCTTCTCTCCCTCGCCTGTTTAACGTCTCCTCTCAGTCCCACCAGGAGACATTTATAAAGTTCAGCTTTATGACCCTGGCCACCAGCTGTGTCCCACTGGAAAAGTTGTAAAACTCATTTCCTGATGTGAAAGGCATGAAAACAAGAGGTAGGATCAAGATTTTTAACAAGCTGTGAAAAGCTGATTCATGCCCTCCAGAACTGGCTCCAGTTGGAAACCCTGGCGGGTGCAAGGCTTGGCAGAGAGGTCACCGAGCAGGGACCCTCTCTGGGTCTCCGTGTGCAGGGTCCCTCAGATCTGGCAGGGACGGGGGTCAAGGGAAAGAGGCCTTTGTGGAAGCTTCCCCTGGTCCCGTGGAGCTGTCTCTCATGCCTGAAAACCTCCACCAATGAGGTTTCCGGGGGTGTTTTGTCTCAGTGGTGAGCAGAACGTTCAGCTCCCGCAAAGCTCCTGATATTAACCAGGACAGTCAAGCGTCCATCCTATGCAAAAGCGAGGAAACGTGCGCCCAGTCAAAAGATGAAGTTGCACACAAACCTGACTACCATTCCTGCAGAAAGCCCGGGACCAAAACTACCAAGCAACAAAGCAAACACAAGCCGTCACCAGACACAACACACCTACAGCCCCCACAAGACCCAATGTGACTACAGCTACACAACAACCGGGGCCATGAGTACAGTCACACCATGACTTCGGCCATCCACAGAGACAATGGGCCAAATTAATGCCTGGATTTCTCTGGAGTTCCATCAGGGATGAGCCCCCATGAGTCAGAGTTCAGCGCTTATCTGAGCCTTCTCCCATCACCGACCATGGCCACAGCCTCCCTGCCAGGATGCCCCTTCGTCTCCCCGATGAGCAGAATGCCTCAGAGCTGCTGCTGAGCGGAGAGCTCGCCACGCGCACGTGTCAGGGAGTTCACCCCGCTGGCACAGTTTGAGCAGCGGAGCACATTTGGGGGTGCCCATCCCCCCATTGGTTGTCTCCCCCACAGGTGTGGGTGTGTGGCTGTCTGCTCTGCCCCTGCAATTCGCAGTGGGAGGGAGTGTTCAGTCCCCTCCTGGCAATCCACCCCAGCTTGCAGTGCTGGTGAGACACTGCTGTGGCCAGGCCAGAGGCGTGTTCTGCAAAGTGGTAGGAGCCGCAGTGCGGTTAACGTCAGTGTCCTTCGGGGAGGAAAGGCATCAGCGACTGACCGGGACCCTGAACTTCAGACGGGGGAATCTCCATCAAATGGGGGGATTGATCAGATGAGGAAATGAAAACCCGTAAACGCCGCATGGAGGTTGCTGTAATAAATGTGCGAGATGCCCAATGGCGTGGATGCGTGAGCCGCCTGGTTAATGGCAGGTCCCGGGTTACTGGAGCCAAGGAAACAGCCC